GAGGGCGATAAGGTCTCCCCTCAGCCTCCTCTTCTCCAGGCTAAACAACCCCAGTTCCCTCAGCCGCTCCCCATCAGCCTTGTGCTCCAGACCCCTCACCAGCTTCGTTGCCCTTCTCTGGACACGCTCCAGCACCTCAGTGTCCTTCTTGTAGTGAGGGGCCCAAAACTGAACACCGTATTTGAGGTGCAGCCTCACCAGTGCAGAGTACAGGGGCACAATCACTTCCCTGCTCCTGCTGGCCGCACTATTCCTGATACAAGCCAGGATGCCATTGGCCTTCTTGGCCACCTGGGCACACTGCTGGCTCATATTCAGTCAGTTTAAACCAAAATCTTTATGAGTAAGCAAATAAAAAAATACCCAAGCACGCACAGCTGAGGGACTGTCAGGGGGTTTTGGGTTCTTTTCTGCAGCATCTGCTGGGTGCTTTACCCGGCCTTCATTCAGGCAGAAGGTTCTGCATCGCGGCCTAAAGTCTGGCCTAGAAAAAATAATACTAGCTTCCTTTGTCTTTGCTGGATGTTTTTCTGTGGGAATGGGAATTCACTTTATTACTTGCTATCTAATGGAAAGCCTGGCACTGCTGTGGGAGGGAATTTCTGTTTCTCCACTGAGACCATGCCGTATAACCAGGGACGCAGAATAGCTTTCATCCTTGAAGACAGAACTAAAGATACATGTTTGCATTGAATCCAGGACTAGACTAATTGCACATAGAGTTTGCAGGCAATTTGTTGGACCTATTGATCTGTTGACTGAAATACTGCTCCATGTGTTTTCATTGCTGCCTAATGGAAGGATTAGGACATTCACGTTGATCATCTTGAAAGCCTGTTCGCCCTGTCACACCCAAACACCAGGCAATAAGGTTTTGTGCAAAGGATCTCTGGGCACTAGGGAAGGAGAGATGGGATTTCATCTAGTTACAGTTTACACGTGGAAACAGTCGCATGTTTTCTGCAGTGATATTTAAACATGGCATCTTCATCTAAGGAAGTGCTTCTGCCTGCCTGTGCATTTGCCCCCTTGTTTTTCTATTTGGGAAAAGTGCAGAGCTTGTTTCCCCCGCCTTTGCTTCTTCATACCACCACTTCGCATCTTGTGCGGTCCTTGGGTCTCTTATCTTTTGCCTGACTTTCTCCTCTTTCTACACCAACATGGGGATAGATGTTTGCCTTTTTCCTGGTCGAATCCAGTGCCCCTCTTTCAGTGGCGACAGTAGCCCTTCAGTTCCCTGTGCTTTGGTGAGAAATACTTCATAGATCATGCTTAATAGTTTTGTATCATTCTTGTAGTTCTGAAGATATTGTGGATATATCTTATAACAAATCTACCTCAGTCAAATCTCCGCCCTGAAATTACAAGCATCTAATTCCATTTTGGTTGCCCTGACATCCATGTTGCACAGACAGGGAAGATGTATGACCTGCAGGAGAGCTTTACCCCATGTATGACCCGCAGGAGAGCTTTACTCCTCTGGAGTGGCACCTGGCTGTCATATGTTTGTCGTATCGCTCAGATGTCCCAAGTTTGGGCAAGTGAGTGTCATCCTTAACATTGTACCGGAGTCACAAGCTATGTAGCATTTTCAATTTCTCGATTTAAGGAGTAGTTTTATTGCATGTGTATCTTATTTATATGCATTCAAATAGAAACAGCTGAGACTCGTTCAGAGTCACAGTAATGAGAACTGATCGTACAACATATTTCCTAATTTTGTCTTCTGTCCACAGGTCCAGCAAGAACAAAGAAACCACCCTGCAGAACCTGTAATAGATGACTATAAAAAGATGGGGACTCTCTTCGGCGAACTAAACAAAAGCCTTATCAGAATAGGCTTCACAAGGATGTACTTTGGAGAACGGATAGTAGAACCTGTAATAATTATATTCTTCTGGGTTATGCTCTGGTTTCTTGGCCTACAGGCTCTTGGACTGGTCGCTGTTCTGTGCCTTGTCATTATTTATGTACAACAGTAACATTTTATAGATGCTGTTCGGATTATGTATTTCAACACTGTCACTATGTCAGTGGATTTATGTGTTTAAGCAAATGGGTGGCATATCAAAAGCTGCAATGCTTTGAATTGCGTTTTGCTGAACTTCCAAAGTTTGAGGTGAGAGGGACTGAAATCATGCATTTTAAGCAAAGTCTGCAGTGCCCTACTACATCTTCGAAGGGCAAAAAAGGAGATGTTTGTAATATAATGGTGTCCAATGTACTGTTTTTTGCACTCTTGGGGCCTTAGTCCAAGGATTAGGTTTTTTTTCCCCTCCCCCCCCCCCCCCCAAATGTTCTTGCTTTGTATAGTGAAAATTTCCTGTCTGGTTTTAAGAGGACACTTGATGTGAGTGCTCTGTTTCACTGTTGCGGGGGCTCGTGTGCTATTTGTTCCCTGAATCTGCCTCATTTGCTAGTTTTTTGCTGAAAAGCTAAATCTGCACGAGGGAGGTTTGCTAACAGACCTACAATGATAAATGTTCGTAAGGTGAATACAACTTCCCGACACAATAGCGTCTTTGGTTAGTATAGTTTATAGCAAGCTTTCCTCCAGGAAACAAGCTATGCCAGCAAAATGCTTTTATACTAATACTAGTAACTTCACACAAGGCTTCAGCTGTTGTTTAAGAGGAATCGCAGTCCTGTGTTGGCCAAATAGTCTAACGTAGCTCTGCCTTGGTTTTTGGAAATGTACTCAGCTCCTGCTGTTATTTTTCTTTTTTTTTTTTTTTAATACTTGCTTTTTCCCCCAGCCCTCCTTTCTGAAGATAAATAATTGGATAATTCATGGACTTTGTAGGTGGTTACAGCTGCAGTGTTGGAGAGTTGCCATTCCAGATGCCAATGCTAGAATATTGCCTGCTTCCTCCGGGTTGTGTGTGAAGAGTCTGAACAACCAGATAGCTATCAGACCAGATCTCTTAACGCTTCCCTAATTTGCTGCAGCGTGGACTCAATGTGAGCTAGAAGCTTGGAGTAGAAAAGCAAATCAGACCTGTTTCCTCACGCAAGGCAAGAATGTGATTGAAATCGGGTGGTCATTTTATTTAATAGTCTTAACTGATTCATTTCCTTGCTAGGCAACAAAAATGCGTGTCTACAGGTGCATGTCATGGGCAACACAAATCAGAGAATAGGATGTATATGTTCAAGAGTAGGTGCAAAATTCACTCTGGCTCCCCAGGAGCCACACCAGAGGTGTAGTGAATATTTCCAAGTTGAATGTGCTCATGTAAAGAAAAACAGTAAAATGAGATAGAATCTTTACTAAAGAGGCTACCAACTTAATATTTGCTGTATGTTACTTCTAGTAAGAAACTTAATTGCGAAATTGACTTCATCTGGGGTAGAGTGAAATTATACATTTACTTAAAGAAATGTAATAGAAGATGTGAAGTTTACAGAAAACTACTTAACCTTTTGCAGATTTTTTTCCTCAACATTTTTATACTAGCAGAGGTCAAAACCAGGTTAGTTGAAAAAGCTGTCTTACCCAGAGACTTTTGAACTGAAGGGGAGCTTCTCTATGGTCCCAGTCTTGCAACTGGATTCTCAAGGCCGATTTTATGCCTACATGGATCATGTCGGTTGCTGGGCTCCATTTCCAAGGCCCTTGGCCCCAGTCCTGACAGACTTTCCTATTGGTGAAATAATTGTTCTTCAGGGCAGTGAACATGAAGGCCCAGCTCCTTTAATGTCTTTATGTGCCTAAATGCCATCTGTGGACATGTCTCTCTGCTTTTCTAATGCATGCGTAGTTACCTTCTGAGGAGCCAGGTCTCCTCTCCAGATCCTCAGATGACCTTGACTGTGGACCCAAGAGGCTCTGCCGAACCAGCAGGACTGCAGGGGAGCGGGACTGAGGCCCAGCCCTGTGTTTTGATGGTAGCCTGTGTTGATTGGCACCTAGTTAAATGGTTATGCCGATGGCAGGGAAAGGTTTGACAACAGAAGGCGGTCCTGGATGCAGGGGTTCGTTATTCACAGCTGGAAGTCCCAAAGCAAACAGCAGGTACAGGCTGAACTCCGAGGCAGGAGCTCTGTACTCACAAGTGCCTAGGGGAAAACTTTGGTTTTGTTTCAAGTCCCCAAGCAGAACATCTTTTACACCTTTGCATATTTGTATAGATACAGTGGTGGGTTTATGTGTATTCCTCTCCTGTGTAAGGGCTGTACTACAAAAGCATCTTGTCATTAAAGAAAAAAATACCCTTCCTTTCTTCCCACTGTTGAGTTCCTGTTCGAAGGATCTCATCCAGTTCCTTTCGTCCTGTAGGAAAAAGTGTCTGTGTGGTACCCTTGTTGTGGTAGTACTCCCGTGTAAAGGCACTGTGCTGTGAGATGGCAGTTAGTGTTTCCCAAAGTGGTGGGTTTGCTCTGTACGTAAGGAATGGAGAAGCAATGAACTGAGGGTGTGACTGACAAGTTCAGTGAGGAAATTATACGCATGTAACCTTTTATTATGTGCATAGCTGTGACTGTTTCACTCATTAAGTCGTTTCAGTTGTTCTTTTGGTGTTCACGTTTGTACACATGTACTCTAGGGAAAGGTAGCTTTTGGACGAAGATGATGTACAGTGAATGTTTTATATGGTTTCTCTTAAGGGTGACTTACTATGTCTTGTCCTTCATAGAAGTTTTTAATTTTTAAATATCTGAAAAAATATCCCTCCTAATGGAGTTAGGTTGAATGAAAGTGAAAAAGAAAAATAATGTATTGCATGGAAGATACCCCTCGCCTGTTTGGTTTCATACATTCCGTTGTACAGAAGAATTTTCAGCAAATCATCTGTGCTAATCCTTTGCTATTGCTATACTCGCTCCCTGTCATTTGCAGGAGAGGAAAGAGGAGCTAAGGAAAAAAGGGGACTGGGATGGACTCAGATATAAAGAGTGGAAAATGGAATGCATGAAAATGATGCATATACGTGTCAAAAGAAATCTGATTGTAAATGTGTGCCAAAAGTGAGAGGGGAATGGGTGAACAGTCCTTGCATTGCATTCTTCCTTCCACCCAGAGGTAGTTCCGAGGCAGAGGAAGCACCAAGCGTTCAAAGGATGTCCCTAGCTAAAAAGCAGAGGGTTAATTTCAAAAAAAAAAAGACAGTTTCACTTTTGTCTATATAGTAAAAATTGGTAATGTTATTTATATTGGTATAAATGATTATTATTCTTGATAGAACTGAAAGCACCTTTATGCATCTGTGTATAGGACTTTATGAAGGATTTATGTCCCTTAAATCTGTCTTGAACAACAAATGATGTAATTCCTGTTGGTCAGTGAAAATATTGAAAGCCTTTTACCTAAACTCCGTTTTTTAAAGGATGGACTCTTCAGTACTGTTTCACATCTGCCAAATGCATAAATGTTTGAACTACTGTGTACAGAGAAGCAGCTCTGCGTGTAGGAGAATCTTGGAGAACCCTGTTTGCACTGAAAAATCATCACGTCGAAACTGTCCATATAAAAAGGAAAAATCATATTTCTTAAAAACTCTGTATTCAATGAATCCTATGGAAAACACTTTGTTATTCTTTCTAATAAAAAGTATTATCATCAGTGAGAACTGGGAATTCTTTGTGGTGCTTCGTTCAAGGCTACTTGACTCCTTTCAAAATTTCATGGTAGGCCCAGATGAAATGGGGCAGCGTTCAGATATCCACTGAAACCAGTTAACTTGCAGCAAAATGGAAAAATAACTGCAGGACAAGAGCTGAATAAACTGCATCAGGTCTCCATGGTCGAGTGTGCAGCAAATTATGCTGAATTTAAAAAAAAAAAAAAAAGCAGTAGAGCTAGGTTTTAACAAATAATGGCAACATCATGGTGTGAAGTAGCTGTTATTTCACAGCATACCTATTTTTCATCCCGATTGGCCTCTGAAGGAACCAGATGTGGTCAGGGGGGTGAAAAATCCTTTAAAGTGACAATTGCTGTGCAACAGAAAGGTTGGGGAGGTTTTGGTTGTTTCTTTAAATATGGATAGCACAACAAATCCACTGCAAACTGCTCATTCTTTTTTTTTTCTGCAGGTTGGAAGGGTGTTCTTTCTGCCAGATCCAACAGACACGCTTAAATGTAACCGTGTTGCTCGGGATGCGCAGTGAGTTAAGCAGTATGGGTTTTCTAAACTTAGCAAAGCTGAATTTTGGTCCTTCGAACTCCTATTGGTGGTTGTGCACAAAATAACTAAGGCTCACTGCTTGAATAAATTCAAGCCTTCAGGTTTTATTTCTGATAAAGTATCTTGGTCAGGCCTTTTATAGGGTGCATGCAAATTCAGGAACAACCTGGCTTTGACTCTTTGAGTCTTTCCGTCCCAAGTTTTACTCTAGGTTTCGGAAGTGTATTTCCTAGCCTCTCCCCTCTGCCAGAACTGACGGCTTCATCCCCTTCTTACTTTCCTCCTCTCACGCTGTAGCGTTGCCTTGTCTAGGGGCTGTTCGCTAGAACAATCTCTCTCTGTGCCAAGGGTTCAAGCTTTTTCATCATTCAGTCTTCTTAAAAGCTACCTAGGCAGAAAATTTATTTTCAGTTGGATGTTTTGTTTGGTTTGCTGTGTGCCTGCTTAACATCAGAGGGCAGGAAGTTAGAGAGAGGATTTTAAAAAACATGCGTATGTTGGGTAGTTACTTCTTTTTACAGCACTTATCTGTTGGTTCAGATTATGGTTACCAAACCGCAATTTGCAGTCACCAAAGTTCCAAGAGAGCATTGCAAACGTGTAGGGTAAAGAACTGCTGGTAGATGGGCACCAGGATTTGAGGCTAGATGGATTGAGCAGCACGTGGCTTAGGGTTGTTTCAAGCTTATACAGGCAGGTAGACTGCAAACTTCCCTGAACCCCTGCCAACCCCTCAGATTCTGCTGAAAGTGTCTCCGCACACATGTAAGACCACCAGTATTCCTTCTGCACTCACTGTGAAGAAACTGAGCTTTCATCAGCTCTGTTTTACACAGAGGAACCAAAGGGGGATGAGAATGGGAAAGGGGGAATTGGACTTACAAGAGTGTTTTTAACGTGGGTGCAAGCTTGTAGTCTTTTAAAATTTTAGTCTTGTGCTATCCAGATAATGTTCTTGTGTCAGAAGTCTGTGTATCAGCCCCAGTTTACAAGTATTTTCCAATTAATACGGAAGTGAAGCAGCTGAGATAATATATCCTTTTCCCCAAAGAACTTCATGAAAGCCAATCCCCCTCCAACTTCCCAAAGTGGCAGGAGGGATGCGACTGGATAAAGCCCTTCTGATGACAGGAGCTGCTTTCGGTGCAGCCTCGGGTGGACCGGCTCCTTCCCAGGGCAGGGCAGGCTACCAGAGCACCAGGGAAAACATCTTGCCCAGCCCCAGGCATCACTGCAACAGCAGGAGTCCCAAGTGGCAGGGAAGGGGAAGGAGAGTTACACCACAGTCCAAGGGATTTGATCGGACAGTGTTTGAGACAGAGCTGCTATGGAGTATGGTGTTTAGGTTTGATGTTCATTAGAGGTAAGTTAATTAAGCCCCGTTGTTTAGAGGTAAGTTAATTAAGCCCTGTTGTTTCTTGGCTTGCCCTGGCTCATCACCTTGGTGTCCTGAATGAATGTTGCTTGCAGCAAATGTTTCTGCTTCCGGAACATGTCTGTGTCTGTCTAAGCATATTTTAGATGTACAGCTTACTGTTAATTGCATTTTAAAGCGTTACAAGGGAAAAGGGTTCATCTTCCAGTCCTCATTTGGATGAGGGGTTAATTAATATATGTGAGAAGGGAGCCAAATTAGCCACTGGCAAACTGTCGAAGGCTTCCTCACAGAGGAAAAAGCTGCTAACCCATGTGTGAGTGATAAAGGTACAAGAGGCTGTCCAGAATGGGTGGCAGAAAGTGACCGGTTTTCTGTCCTAATTCACAAATAAATTCTCTGTTTTCTATCTTCCTCAAGCTAGCTAGAATAGGTTAGCTTCCCAGGTACAAGAAGTCCGTAGCAAGAAGATTAATTACTAGGTAAGGAAAATGCTGTGGCAACAAAAATCCTATTCTGTGAAGCGTCAGGCACTGAGAAGTCTCTTCTTGACTTGAATGAGATTTGAGTTCTTAAGTGCTTTGGCTTCTCAGTTCCTTATTTTGAACATTTTTACCTGGTTATCCTTTTAAATCATTCTTTCTAAAAGCTGTTAATGCCGGTCCAAAATTTTTGAAAGCCGCTCCTCTGTCAGTAGCTGTTACCAACGGGGGTGAAGATCGCCTGTGCGTAGGGGTTGGCAGGTTGCCAGGAGAGGCTGGTGGTAGCTTCACCTGCCCAGGTCCCACAAAGCCTTAAAGCAGCGTCTTCAGCAGTTCCTTTGTTGTCACCTTCTGCAGTCATGCATCTGGTTAAGTGCTTAGTGAGAGCTGACCTCATCTCCTTGGGCATTTCAGTCCCTTGATCTCAGGACTTTCTGCTGCTGAACAGGCTCTGCCTGTCCCCATGCAGCTGAGCACCCACGTTAACTGCCCTTCGCCCCTTGTTACAGAGTGGAAATACACCCCAGCATACTGCCATCATGTCTTCCTCCTAATGACATCAGGAAAAGCAGCGATGATGCAGTTTTCCTGAGGGAACAAACCCTTCTATGCCTTTAAGCTTACTTCAGTCAGTCTTTCTGTGAATTTTCCTGTTGCTGAGGGGAAAACAGATCATAGAATCATGGAATGGTTTGGGTTGGAAGGGACCTTTACAGGGCCACCTAGCCCAAAAACCCTGCAGTGAGCAGGGACATCTTTAACTCGATCAGGTTGCTCAGAGCCCCATCCAACCTGACCTTGAATGTTTCCAGGGATGGGGCCTCCATCACCTCCCTGGGCAACCCGTTCCAGTGTTTCACTACCCTCATTGTAAAGAATTTCTTCCTTATATCTAGTCTAAACCTACCCTGTTTTAGTTTAAAACCATTGCCCCTTGTCCTGATACAGCTGGCCCTACTAAAAAGATTGCCCCCGTATTTAATATTTAAGAGTCTATTGCCCATTTTTGATACTGGGTAGATAAGAGAACCAAAGGCATGTAAATGTTTTAATAAATTTTTTTTTCTGTTTTGATTCCTAGTTTCTTTCATTCCATCTGTGATTAGAGAGATAAGAAAGTATTTGGCTGAGCTCTGTTAGCAGTGGACTTAACTTGGCTCTTAGTTAGCAAATTCTTATCCCGAGGTCTTCAACAGGTACATACAAATTGCTGTTAACAAGCCCTTTTCTTAGCTTTCCTTCACATTCTCTGTTTTTTCTTGTTCTAATGCATTAGCCTAGCTTTTTTTTTTTTTAAACGTATGTTTTGGGGAGAGTCTGTTCCTTGCCATACATATACCTCAGTCAAGATGGGACTCTTGGACAATTTAGTGTTTAGACCCTGCACTCGGCGTGGGTTTTATCATTCTTGAGCCTGTCTTGTCAGCTGGACTTCACCAGCTGGGGGGATTTCTGTGCTGAGAAGCA